GATTGATTAATATTTTATGATAATTATTATTATTTTGTCTTTAGTTAAATTTTACGATTTGTTTTTGTTTTTATTTTACTACCACACCATAAAATAGTGTTGGAACAAGAATCACTTTAGATACTAACAGCCTTATTTGAGACGGTAGGAATGTTTTGGAGTATGAAAGCTGGCGCAATAAGCCGTGAGTTCAACCTGTAGCCTTCGATATGTGTTTACTCCAACTGAGTGTGTTGCTGAACGTAATACCTAAATTATGTGCGTACTCCTCAAATTGTATCGGCGTATTGTTGATTACCAATTTTTGAATACTTGTGGAATCAATTGGCCTCTTAGAGATGACTACACACTTGGATTTATTTGGGTTTATACTCAAGCCATTTTCGCTTGCCCATTTTTCAATTACTTTAAGCATTTTATTACTAGATCTAACACAAACATACTAACATAGATTTGTACATCATCTGCATACAGGTGAACTTCACAACCGGACAGAAGACTAGGTAAATCATTCACGTACATAGAAAACAATAATGGTCCCAGGACGGATCCTTGGGGACCTCCACGTGTAAGCAGGCTGAAGGTATAAATCTGACTTCCTGAGACAACTGCCTGAATCCTACCATCAAGATATGATTCTATAAGGCGAAGTGCTGTACTTGAATAGTTAAAAAGGCTCTTTAGTTTTGTATTTAAAATACCGTGGTTTACAAATGCTTTGCTGTGGTCAAGAAGGGTTAAAAAAGTCACATAATTATTGTATATCAAGTTGTTTTCTTATGTCTTCAACGATATTCGTTATTGCGCTTACACAACTTCTCTTTTTTCTGAACCGAGATTGTTTGTCTGATAATAACGAATTGCTTTCTAGAAAATTTGGAATTTGTAGTGATATTAAATTTTTAAGAACCCTGGCTACCTAAGTTGTTTATGTCCTTTCATGTTTTTTTATTGATAGTGTTGGGCCACTGTTGAATCTTGAGAAAAACATGAATGTAATTTTTAAGTATTGATCTTTCTTTAAGTGTATTGATCTAATTGTCAACCTGAGCTGCGTTCTTAGTGGTAAAGCTAAAGTTCACGCTCTCACGCAACTCACCGCACTGGCCACAAAGGCTATTATATGACGTAAGAATAAAGAGTTCAATTTTGGTACAGACGTATGACGTAAGAATGAAGAGTTCAATATTGGTGCAGACAGACAGACAGACAGACAGACAGACAGACAGACAGACAGACAGACAGACAGACAGACAGACAGACAGACAGACAGACAGACAGACAGACAGACAGACAGACAGACAGACAGACAGACAGACAGACAGACAGACAGACAGACAGACAGACAGACAGACAGGCAGACAGACAGACAGACAGGCAGACAGACAGGCAGACAGACAGACAGACAGACAGACAGACAGACAGACAGACAGACAGACAGACAGACAGACAGACAGACAGACAGACAGACAGACAGACAGACAGACAGACAGACAGACAGACAGACAGACAGACAGACAGACAGACAGACAGACAGACAGACAGACAGACAGACAGACAGACAGACAGACAGACAGACAGACAGACAGACAGACAGACAGACAGACAGACAGACAGACAGACAGACAGACAGACAGACAGACAGACAGACAGACAGACAGACAGACAGACAGACAGACAGACAGACAGACAGACAGACAGACAGACAGACAGACAGACAGACAGACAGACAGACAGACAGACAGACAGACAGACAGACAGACAGACAGACAGACAGACAGACAGACAGACAGACAGACAGACAGACAGACAGACAGACAGACAGACAGACAGACAGACAGACAGACAGACAGACAGACAGACAGACAGACAGACAGACAGACAGACAGACAGACAGACAGACAGACAGACAGACAGACAGACAGACAGACAGACAGACAGACAGACAGACAGACAGACAGACAGACAGACAGACAGACAGACAGACAGACAGACAGACAGACAGGCAGACAGACAGACAGACAGACAGACAGACAGACAGACAGACAGACAGACAGACAGACAGACAGACAGACAGACAGACAGACAGACAGACAGACAGACAGACAGACAGACAGACAGACAGACAGACAGACAGACAGACAGACAGACAGACAGACAGACAGACAGACAGACAGACAGACAGACAGACAGACAGACAGACAGACAGACAGACAGACAGACAGACAGACAGACAGACAGACAGACAGACAGACAGACAGACAGACAGACAGACAGACAGACAGACAGACAGACAGACAGACAGACAGACAGACAGACAGACAGACAGACAGACAGACAGACAGACAGACAGACAGACAGACAGACAGACAGACAGACAGACAGACAGACAGACAGACAGACAGACAGACAGACAGACAGACAGACAGACAGACAGACAGACAGACAGACAGACAGACAGACAGACAGACAGACAGACAGACAGACAGACAGACAGACAGACAGACAGACAGACAGACAGACAGACAGACAGACAGACAGACAGACAGACAGACAGACAGACAGACAGACAGACAGACAGACAGACAGACAGACAGACAGACAGACAGACAGACAGACAGACAGACAGACAGACAGACAGACAGACAGACAGACAGACAGACAGACAGACAGACAGACAGACAGACAGACAGACAGACAGACAGACAGACAGACAGACAGACAGACAGACAGACAGACAGACAGACAGACAGACAGACAGACAGACAGACAGACAGACAGACAGAACAGACAGACAGACAGACAGACAGACAGACAGACAGACAGACAGACAGACAGACAGACAGACAGACAGACAGACAGACAGACAGACAGACAGACAGACAGACAGACAGACAGACAGACAGACAGACAGACAGACAGACAGACAGACAGACAGACAGACAGACAGACAGACAGACAGACAGACAGACAGACAGACAGACAGACAGACAGACAGACAGACAACAATGCGCTTCAAAGACTTAAAAATCTTAAATCCAACACTTATAAAAAGTATAAAAAATCGGGTAAGACATCTCATTTTTCGAAATATGTTGTGGCTCGTTCAGATTTTAATGTTCTCAACAGTCATTGCTATTCTATGTATTTAAATAAATGATCCGAAGCAGTTTTATAACTTTGTTAATGACAAGCGTAAGTCTCCGGCTTTGCCTTCATCGGTACGCTTAAACTCAAAAACAGCATCGTCGGGTTCTGAAATTACGGATTTACTTGACGAATTTTTCCAAACTACTTATAGTTCGGCTGCTTAGTCAAATTCTATCCATCCTAACCCCTTAAATAGGGCAAATTGTATTTTTACCCCTGTAATTACCGAAAGTTCTCTCTTAAAGGATTTAGCAACAACAATGCCAACGTATTCTCCCGGTCCACATGGACTGCCTGGGTGTGTGCTTAAGTTTTGTGCTTCAACCATTTGTAAACCGATTCTTAAACTTTTTCATTTGTCAATTTCATCATCAGTTTTTCCAACTATCTGGAAGGACTCTTTCATTATTCCACTCCACAAAAAGGGTGCGAAGGGGGATGCTCAGAATTATAGAGGTATTTCTAAATTGTCGGCAATTCCTAAAGCATTTGAACGTATTATTACTTCTCATTTGCAACATTTATGTTCCTCGCTTATATCACCGTGTCAGCATGATTTTGCTAAGCGAAGATCGACCACCACCAATCTTCTTGAATTGTCATCTATTGTAATAAATGGTTTTAAGAATAAAATGCAGACTGACGTAATATATACAGATTTCAGTAAAGCCTTTGACTCCGTTAACCACTCTCTTCTTTTATTCAAACTAGACTTGCTTGGGTTTCCATGTAATCTTTTAACTTGGATTTCAAGTTATTTAAATGGGAGGACTCAGAGGGTTTTATTTAAGAACGCTGTTTCTAAAATGATCCAGGTGACATCTTGATTGCCCCAGAGCAGTCATCTGGGCCCTTTGCTGTTTACTTTGTTTATTAACGATCTTCCCTCTATCATAACAAATTCTCGTGTACTAATGTCCCAGTTGCCACTTCAAAAATTTTGTATGAGCCAAAAAAAAATTAAAAATGAGCCAATTTGTATAAAAAAGAGCCAAATTTTTACCATATCAAATTACTATACCAGCGGAACAATTTAGTTTCGATCTGGCACTTTTGGGTTTCAGACATTAATCACTTTTAAAATTGCAAAAAAAAAAAGCATTATTATAAAAATGAATTTGTTTTTTTTCAAGTTTTAAATATTTTTTATCGCTACTAGCAAAAAAGAGCCAAATTCAATCAAAATGGGCCAAAGAGCCAGCGCGAAAAAAAAGAAACAACCGTGACTAATGTATGCTGATGATGTTAAGCTTTGTTTGACACAGAGCGACGAAAATATCGCTCTCTCCGTTGGCACAAAGTTGAGAGCAAAAATCAAAAAATAGCCCAGCGGCGAAAATTGCCATTACAAAATGAATTACGAATGCATTACTTTTCCTCCGTAATAGGAAAAAAATGGATTACAACGGATTACTTTGCCATGGGCATGGCCGCCTTGTAATGTGGTCGGGACACAATTTGCATTACTAGTAATGGGAAAAGTATGATAGGGCCGAGTCACCCATTACGAATTCACTATACTTTCCCAAAATTGTAATGTAAAATGTAGACAGACTAGAGAAAATTCAAGTTGAATTATTCAACATACATTTTGAAAATCGTATGCTGAGTTGTAATGCTGTTCATTTATGAAAACAAAAAATATTCTTTCCTCATGTAGGAATTAAACATTGGTATTATTGTATAATGGATGGGAAGGATTAGGAAAGTAAAGGATTGATCCTGTTCAATCATTCAATTTATTTAAATTGAATTTATGTATATATGTGTGTTTTTTTTTTTCTTATCTTTAACCTTCATTTCTGGCTCCGTTTAGCTATGAATTTGGACCGGACCGAAGAATTAGTCGAGCATATATAGTTAACCATGGCGCCGAATGCAGCTGTACCAGTGGAGCGATATGAGCCCCAAAACATTGGAATCAACGCGATTCTCCTGGGGCCGCCGGGATCCGGCAAGGGAACGCAGGCTCCCCTCCTGAAGGAGAAGTTCTGTGTTTGCCACCTGTCCACTGGCGACATGCTGCGGGCGGAGATTTCGTCCGGTTCCAAGCTGGGAGCTGAGTTGAAGAAGGTCATGGATGCCGGCAAGCTGGTCTCCGATGACCTGGTGGTGGACATGATCGACTCCAACCTGGATAAGCCCGAGTGCAAGAACGGATTCCTCCTGGACGGATTCCCCAGGACTGTCGTTCAAGCCGAGAAGCTCGACACATTGCTGGACAAGAGGAAAACTAATTTGGATGCCGTGATTGAGTTTGCCATCGTCGACAGTCTGTTGGTGAGGCAAGTCACTGGCCGTTTGATCCACCTGGCCAGCGGGCGGTCCTGTCACGATGAGTTTGCCCCTCCCAAGAAGCCAATGACGGATGATGTAACCGGAGAACCTCTAATCCGTCGCAGCGATGACAACGCCGAGGCTCTGAAGAAGCGATTGGAAGCATATCACAAGCAGACGAGGCCCTTGGTCGACTACTACGAGAGGTCTACAGGTCGACGACTACTTTCCTTGTACAGATTTCTAAAATGTATGAGTGTTTGTTACTTTTTACAATTCACTATTTGTAACTACAATGCAACTTAATGTTGGAAGCTTGTTGTAAAACTTTTGTATGCACCTTAAAAACGAATATCTGCATATTTCATTTATAGTTTCGTTTTAGCCGTCACTCGGCTAAAGACAGACAGACAGACAGACAGAATTTTGTATGAAAATGAAGAAAAAGCGGCTAAAATAGCTATTTTCAAAAAATCATAAAAAATACAAATATTAGTACAGTTAACATTCAAATTTGTGAAAATACTTTTGACTAGGTTTGTATAACACTTTTTGTATAAAAATGAGCGTTTTCATGTAATTAAGCGATGAAAAGTTTTAACCCGTTTTAGTTTAGTATGGAAAACACAACTAATGATTACTTGAAACCAATTAAATAAGAACAAATTAAAATTAGATATTTTTAATGTACACACAAAAAAAAGCATATCATATCGTTTTTACCTGAAATAATTTCCGGTTATTTATACTCATATCGATTTTACCTGAAATATTCATAAAATTGATATTAAATAATATAATTTTTCCGAATTCTTTCTCTCGGAGATTCTCTAACTTTGAAAAAAAAGCAAGAAGCAATATGATGAGCAAAATGACGGGAGAGGAAACGAGAAAGACGGATTCCAAACTCAAACTATAATAGGTAAGTAAAGCGTATTCATAATATAAACCAAAAAGAAAACCAGGGACCGTAACAGTTATTTTAAAATAAAAGTCAGAAAATAACTCTTAAAAAATAAAAGTCTTCCGTAACTTTTATTCATGACTTTTATTATAAAAGTATAAAAATTACTGTTATTGTGCGACTGAAACACAAAAAAGTCCAAAATATCTCTTGCCAATGACGTCACAAAATCTCATCTGTTGAAATTCGGTTGGAATTTGTACCTATGTTGTTATGGTGGTAATTTTGTAGCATATAACGTTTGATTTGGGAAAATAAGCTGGTGGAACGAAATAACGCTTTAGCGGAGTACGCGATGTCCTCGGCTTCCATTTTTGTCTGGTCGGCCTGGGGTGGGTTTCTAAAGAAAGGGTACCGCCACTTTACCATTGCTCAAATGCTATTAAAGATAAATTAAATTTCGCGTACTTAGTTTTGGGACACAGAAGGAAAAAGCAAGAGAAAGATACACCTGCCTATGTCACTCTCTTTTCCTCGCAGGATAACTGCGAAGGCCCACCCTACCATGATCCTGAATGTCCTTGGCTTCGTCCCTGACACTCTGACCTCCATAATCCCCGGATGAGGAGACTTTTAGTTATACTTCATTATAAATTCGTTTTATTAATTATAAATAATTACTGCCTTGTGCATAAATGATAATAATAATAATCTAGCTGTTAATTTTATTTTTAGTTCATGTTTGCTAATCATTTGTTTTATTCCCAAATTTAATAGAATATTCGATTCGGTTTTATTCACTTAAAATTTATTTGCGTAGGTTTGTGAGGAATGAAATATTGCTGAAATAAAATTAGATTAGGTGAAATAAGCAGTTGGGGTTTGTTTTGTTCAGTATAGCAATATAGATATATATGGGTATATGTTTCATAGTAATAGAAAAAAGGGAAGAATAAGCTCATTCCATAATGGGTTCCATGTGGTAGTAAAAGTAATTTAATTTAAATTATTTTTTTTGTTCTCCTTTTTTTCTTTTTATTTGTAAAGCTGATTTTCGTAATGAACCCGCGATTAAATGCAATGGTAGCTACCTATATATGTGTGCATTCCAGTTTTGGCATTGGAAAGCGCATGGCGTAGGTCAGTTACGCATGGCGTATAGCGCAAAAGAGGACAGGAAAATAAAGGTACAGTGAAACAACTTACCAACGATCCGGCGGCGAAAGATCTTTAGCAGCGGTCGCTGGAAAAAGAGAGAGAGCCTTCATACGTCATGTTCTTTCCTTCTGCACACATTTTTTTCCTTTTTCTTTGTTTTATTTTTTTATATATTTTTTTTATTGATTTCGGGAGGAATATTTTCAATTAATTTCACTAATTTTCGTTTTCTCCAGCTTACTTGTACACACAGCTTTACCTTTTCCTTTTTCTTCTCTTTATTTTATTTATGGGTAATTCATTTTTTTTTCTTCGCACTTCTTTTCACTTAACACGTGTTTTCGTTTACCCGTTTTTTTATTTTTCGCAATACTTACCTCCTCTTTCACATTTTTACCTTTTTGCTTCGCAACTTCACTTCTTTTTCATTTCTTAACCAAAAAAAATTAACACCTAATTCTTTAAATTACTTGTAGAGCTGAATTCTAATTTGTTTCTTCACATTATTCTCTTTTTTTCATGATTTGGGGGATATTTAGTCAAGTGGCTTTCCCGGCTGACTCCGGGAGAGAGGCGGAAAGCCCAATCGCTCTGGGAAAGCTGAACGAATTTTGAGAATCGGCCGGCAAAGTTTTCCAATTGGAAGCAGAGTACCGAGTGGCTGGAAATCCTAGGTCTGGACGAATGGATTTTCGCTTTCCGGCGAATTGGGTTTTGGCTGTTGGTATCAGCAGAAATATCTTCCGGGGCGCTTTGCCAATTGGAGGCTGCTGGAATATTGTTGCTGCTGCGTGCCAAGCTGGACACGCATCGAGGGAAAGAAAAATAACAAAAAAAAATCGGCTTAGGCACTTCCTTGAATTTCCTATTTAGATGGCTGGGTTATATTCACCTTGCTTGGCAGCAATAAAAAAGGGAATATAATTCCTTTTCGTTTTGGATCTTTTCTTGTAGTTCAAAATTTTGGGTTGGTTTTACGTTAAAACAAAAGAGTACAAAACTTTTCCCAACGACTCGATAACCTTTTGGGGAGCTGATGACTGTCCTCCTTGACGATCCAATTTAAAAAGAATTAGCCAAGCGCGTGGCCAAGGTATCTTACCCCAAACCGGATGTCTTGAGCCGGCAAAGATGGAACCACTCAGCTGACTTTTCTTTTTTTTTTTCTCTTCTCAAAAGTCAAAATCAAGAATGGCAATTTTGCTCTGCGGTTCTGCCCATTGCCGATACCAACATACTTGATGGGCAGCACTGTTTTGCTTGCTTGTATCTTTTGATGTTATTCTTTTTTTTTTTGCCTACTTTTCGGGATTCCTAATAAAAGCTCGAACAAGCATTTTTCTAGAATTCCCCACCGCCAAAATCGCACTTGGGGAATGCCATTTTCCAAAGTGTGATTCACGCTTGGAGAGCAGATAGTTTATTGTTTTATGTCTTTCGCATAAAATTTCGCTATTATTTTCCCTTGTAGGTCCTCTAGTTCTTAATAGGCTGACCCTAGTTTTTTTCTTATTCTGGCTTTAACAAATGTCGGCGCTAGCTTTGCATTAAAACCTTTTACAAACTTGCTTTGTTGGAAATTCCTTCTATATATCTCTTGGCCTACGGTATACGAAACTTCGCGACTTCGTAAATTATAATTTTTTTCGTTATTAGCCTGCTGGTGTCTCATAGCTTTTACTGCCTCTTTCCTAAAAATATTTACAGAATCCTCCCTAGAGATTTGAATAGCCCTGTCTTCTAGCAAATCCAATTCCCTCAACAGCTTATACTCTGACCCGTCTGTGACCATGTGCTGACCGAAAGCTAAGCGGGAGGGAGTATTGTTAACGGCTGAATGCCAACTGGAGCGGAGAGAACAGCATATGCTACTAAGTTTGTCATCCCAAATGGACTGATCAGGATTAACATAAGCTTTAATGCCAGCTATAATACTGCGGTTGACTCTTTCTGACGCGTTTCCTTGTGAAGCATAAACGGCAGTGTATGCGTGTTGTATCCCGTACTTTTTGAGCAGATTATTGAAAATATTTGACTTAAATTGTACTCCATTATCGGAGACGATTACCTCGGGTGCCCCAAAACAATGAAATAAGTCTTCTTCGAGATACTTTAATATAGCTTCGGCTGTGAAATTTTTAACTGGTTTTATAAAGGGAAATTTTGTAAAATGATCGAGAAGTACTAGAATTCCGACATGGCCAGATTTTGGGATGTTTAGTGCCTTTACAAATCTCACAATTATTAACGTAGTCTCGGACTTCGTTCACCAAATTAGGCAAAAACAAGAGAGAACGCTATAGTCGGGTGCCCCGACTATCAGATACCCGTTACTCAGCTACAGGGAGTGCGAAGGAGATGGAGAAAAACTTTGATCCGCCGTAACTTTTTAACGAATGGTCCGATTTAAAAAATTTCTTCTACATTTCGATAGGTATTGATAAACACAATAAAATTGCGTTTTTACTTTTCCAAAATATTGAAATTTTTAAAACCGTATATAAGCGATTGTGGGCGTTAGAGGGGGCGTGGCACCCTTTTGAAACAAACTTGCGCTGCGTAGGAACTCCTAGAATCTGCATGCAAAATGTCAATCTTCTAGCTTTTATAGTTTCCGAGATCTCAGCGTTCATACAGACAGACAGACGGACAGACAGACGGACAGACGGACAGACGGACAGACGGACAGACGGACAGACGGACAGACGGACATGGCTAGATCGACTCGGCTAGTGATCCTGATCAAGAATATATATAGTTTATAGGGTCGGAAACGCTTCCTTCTACCTGTTACATACTTTTGCACGAATCTAATATACCCTTTTACTCTACGAGTAACGGGTATAAATAGTGTCTTCTAATCCTTTCTAACGTTTTATTAATTCCACAATGAGTGGATAGTGGATCGTCGTGAGCTTTTTCCAATGCCACTGGTACCAACTCTTTTGGCAGCCACAATTTCCCAGGGTTCGTAAAATATTCCTCACAATCTGTCATTTTCCTCAAACAAAATAATGTCAACATAGGGCGGTGATATTTGTCACAATAAAATGAGGAGTAACCAAGCAGGGCTGATGAATATTTTCCTGACAAAAATCACAACTGCTTTATACTGCTTGTACGATTTCGACTAAGCAGAAATTCGTTCGTTGCTGATAGCTAATTTGACCTAAATAAATAGATTGCTGATATCTTGGTCTGCGCACATCTGCATGTGATAAACGGGTCATAAACCATATGCATCCAGCCGACGGACGTGTCTTCACACCATTTGTCATAACCCTTGGGAAATTCTAACCCGACCATTTGGTAGATGTAATTGCTTATTTAGGCTATTTTCTTGTAAAATGATAATAAACCATGTTGTCCATTTGTATCTAACCTAGACCTAAGTAAATATCCTTGTAACCCCAAATCATGTATATAAACCCGGATCCATGCTCAATTAAATCAGTACGAAAAGAAATCTTGACGTATTCACTTCTCCGCAGCCCAATTTGTTCTGTACTTATTGCGGCGACTTTTGCCACTGGTTCTGTACTTGAGGCACGCAAAAAAAAAAACCCTTTTCAGCAAACCCGATTTCGGTAGAAATCATACATTTGGTGACTTTGAACCGCAACAATTGTTCAAATTGGGACTCTAATTTGAACCAGCATCATCGATCATAGTTTGATCAACCCAAGGTCTATTTGGTAAAAATTTGAACCGCATATATCGGTCAATTATAATATCCATTTGATCTGACTTCACGACGTTAAGTACAGTCTTCAACGGTCAACAAGGCGACCAAAAGACGGTAAATTCAACTACTTCAGGTGTGCGATCAACTTGGCGATCAAACACTGTAAGGATTTACATTGAAAGGTTCTGATCAACCAGGCGATTTGAACCAGATAAACTGCTGTTTCACTGATCGATCTGTTCAAAGCCAATTTACATATATATATCCAACGGTGTGAGTCGAGGCACATCATTACAAAATACCTCTTAAGTGGATTATATAAAAAAAAAAAGGTAAAAATGGCACCGAACAGCATTCATCAGTTGTTGACAGGACAGTTATCGATAGGAGAGCAAATTCAGAATGTCATTCGGAATTATAAAAAGGATTCCGTCGACAGAAAGACTAAGCCAGCCTACTACAGAGAACGTTTATTAACGTTAGAGTCCCTGTGGGATAAATTCAACTCCGGAGATAATCAAATAAATATTTTCCTCAAAGGAGTAACGTTAGAGCACGATTATTTTAACAATGAATTCTTTAATAAAATTAAGCAACTGGTTGAGGACTATAAAACAGAATTCAACAATCAGTTGTCTCTCTTGGAAGCGGATGTTACATCCATCGCATCCACAGCAGAGGACATCGAAATAGAATCGATGTTCAGAGAACAAAGGGTGTTGCTTGATTGTTTAGAGCGCATCATAAATAAAATGACCGAAGAAACGAAACAGAATTTCTCG